CCTGGGGCCGGCGTGGATCCAGGGTTTCGGTGGTCGGATGCTCGGTCACGAGCTGGTATGTCATACCGCCCTTCCACATTTCGGCGAACTCTGAAAGCGGCCTCTTCGGCCAGTCGTATGGCACCCTCCTGCACTCTACTCCAGATTCCAGGTCATGCATGAAGAGCTCCTCTGTGAAGGCGGCAAAGTTGTTTTCATCATCATGGTAGCCAGAAGGATACGCTGGTTCGGATCGCGGAACATTCCAACCAAGTGACCACGCTGGGCCGAGTAATTGGTTACAGGGAGGTGTGCATGGTACGGCTGAGGGCAAGTGTACTTGTCCGCATTGCACACCTTGGGGCAGTCGTGCTTGAGCCAGTGTCCCAGCCAGCAGCGGCCGCCGCCGACCGTGTCTTCCTTGAGCGCGACGTTCGCCAGAGACGGGCAAGCGCCTTTCAGGTGGATGATGGCGTTGATGAAGGAGCTGCCAGTCTTTGGGAAGTGAATCCAATCGAGCGGCTGAGCTTCTTTCAGGCGCCTTACCTCCACGCCTTCGACGACAAACTGATGTTGAAGCAACTGCATGTGCATTGCCTCCTGCTCTTCATGTCGTCCCAACGCCAGGAACAGAGCAGGGAGTGACAGTGACAAGAACACAGCTAGCATCGCTCGCATGGAAAGGCAACGTGTGGGAAACGCATGACATGAACGGTTAGGCTTCGAGCTGGCATGTCGCGGTTGCCAATCTATCTATCTATCTATCTGTCTATCTATCCATCTATTTATCTATCTATCTATCTATCTATCTATCTATCCATCTATCTATATATGTGTGTGTAGATGCAAAGGAAGTCAAGTCCCATTATGCTAATGTCCCGCCGAGAAACTAACAACAACCTGATACCGTTTATCACTTGTCGGATGCTTCAACCCTGAATCCAAAAATTCTAGAGCCTAACCGGTGGGACATCTCCGGCAGCCTTCGTTACCATTGGCCGGTCGTGAAATTGGGGCGGGGGGAAAACCTCAGCCCTGAACCCCCCAAACCCCTTGAACTCTCAACCCGCGAAATGGAACGATGAACATATGGAAAACTCCTCAATCCTGTGCCCGAAACTCCAGGTTTCCACCGTGGATTGCCCACGTGGCAGCTTCCAACGGAGGGGCTGCTTCTTGCCTCTACAGGTGCCGGGGTTTTCAGGGTCTTCAGAGGGTTGGCTCGGAACGTTTGTACACACACACACACAAGGGTCTATGAGTTGCCTCACTTCAGAGGGCCGCGTCTTGCAGCCTCCGGGTCTCCTAGACACAAAAGTCTCTACCCACTTCGGCGGAGCCGGACGAGTCCGGGCCTCAGTGACTCCGTCAGTGGCCCAAGGTCAGCGCGTGCACTATCGGTGGGCATTTGTTGCATTCGTAGCGGAAGCACCAGTAGTTCCAGAGGCCCAAGATGCGGCCTTTCGCGCATCGCCTGCCGCAGGTGCCTCAGCAGTGGCACTCTCGAAGGCTGAACCGAAGAACCAACAGCTTGCCAAAGCCCTTCCAAGTTCACGAGCAGGGTGCAGTGGACGGGGCTGATGGAGGGTAGATTCCAGTTTGAATGGTACCTCTGCCCCAGCACCACCGGGTGATGGGGACTGGCAGCGCTGCCGGGAGGGCTTGCCAGCGTTGCCGCCCCGGCCCCGAGCTGGACGTGCTTCGGCGCCACGGCAGCCTCCACCTTCAAAGCCTCTTTTGCACAGGGATCTTCCCCAAGGAAGTCTCCTGACCCGGATCCCAATATCCCTGACGGAACCGGAAGAAAAAAGCTTTTGGGAGCCCCAGCCTCGGCTTCTTTCTCCGCAGTTTGCGCTTTCTTGGGCTCCGATCCTCTTGGGGCCTTCACTCCCAGCGCCTCGGGCGCCACGGCGTCGATCCGCTCCAACACCTGAAGCTCCGCTTTGGGCTTCGGCTCCTCCGCTGAGTTCTCCGAGACCTCTTTGAGGGCCTTGGCCCTCAGCTGCGCTTTTTTCTGGATCTTCGGAAGGCTCCGGCTCTGACGGAGCTCAAAAGCCGCCAGGTCCACGGCCTGCTTCTCGCTGGACCAGTAGCGGTTCCGGTGCACGTAGAGGTAGCCGAGGGAGGGGTCGTCCTTGCAAGGAAGGAGGCTCTCCTGGGAACCCAGGCTCTCCATGCCGGGGATCTCCATGACCATCTCGCTGCCAAGCACGGCCCCCTCCTCGTCCTCCAAACGAAGCTCCTTCTCCACAAGCAGCGACTGGAGGTTCCCGAGGTTGATCTGATCTCGCCCCTCGTAGCATCTGCTGATGGGGCTCTCGGACAAATAAACCAGAGATCCGAGGTTCTCTTGCATGGTCTGCAGGAGCACTCCGTAGGTTGCAATCAGCCCCTTCGTCCGGCCCAAAACGTCGTCCTTGCAAACCTGTGCAGGAACGCAGTTCGCAGCGTACTCATTGTCGGCGAACTCCGTGTTCGCAAAGATGGCGACGTAGGCACAGCCTGCTTTGGCCTTCTGGCCCCGGTCGGTCTCAGGAACCGGCGCGCAGGCCGAGGCGTTGAACAAGACCTCGGCTATCTCCTTAGTGGAGCCGTAGAGCGTGTTGCTGTTGATGGAGGTCTCCACCTCCAGGGCCTTCTGTCTCTGCTCGCCGCAGCAGGCGCCCAGCAGCTGCAGGCCACCCTTGAAGCCGGGCCGCGGCTGGAGGCCTTCGAGGCCCTCGAGGTGTTCCGCCAGCGAGGCGTTGCGGCCTGCCGCGGCCTCGAAGGTCGCGGCCACGCGGGCCCAGGCGAAGGCCCGCGCCAGGAGGTTCAGGAAGAGCAAAAGGGAGAGCGACATTGCACCTACAACAGCTCGGACTGAAAAGCCGCCTCTGCAGGGCACCGGAGAGAACGAGACGGACCGAGACACAGATGTGCATGGCAGCCCCGACACATCGCTTCCCATTGCCTTGTCACCCTCACAGCGCTGAGCATTTCACCTTCGGGGCGCGCCGCACAAGCAAAGTGCTCCTCGAAAGCGCAGCCAGCGGAAGAGTCGCCAGCCGTGGAGACAGCTAAAGAGTACGAGAGAGAGGGTAGAGGGAGAGACGGAGAGACGGAGAGACCGAGAGACCGAGAGACCGAGACACCGAGAGACCGAGAGAGCGAGGGAGAGGGAGAGCGAGGGGGAGAGAGGGAGAGGGAGAGCGAGGGAGCGGGAGAGCGAGGGAGAGCGAGAGAGGGCGAAAGAGAGAGAAGGAGAAAGGGAGAGAGGGATACAGGGATAGAGGGAGCGAGGCAGAGACAGAGACGGAGACAGAAAAAGAAAAGATAGAGCGAGAAAGAGAGAGAGAGACAGAAACAGAAACAGAAACAGAGGCAGAGGCAGACACATAGACAGAGAGCGAAAGAGCGGAAGAGGGAGGGCAAGCAAGCAAAGTCAGACCCGAGCCAGGCTTCGTACACCCGAAGAGAGCTGACGATCGACCTCAAGTCGAGGTTGCAACAAGCTCCTCAAGGGCGGTGGGCGCAAGGATGCTGTTGCTTCGGGGCCAACACCTTAGTGTAGCTTTGCAGACTCAGCACTGCGAAACAACGGGGTCTATTGTTGCTATTGCATATCTCCGTACACCTGACAGCACGACTCGTTGCCTTTAACCAGCGGCTGGTTGTGCGACTGTGGCCTCTGGGGCTGGGGCCTCGGAGGGAGGGGGGGCTCTGGGGCCTCTGGGGGCTCTGGGGGCTCTGGGCCTGCACATTTTCCCCGAAACATTCCGGCAGAACAATGTAGCAACGCAACGTTCGCTACGACTGAGCGACTGAGTTGGCTGCAAAGTCAAGGCAGCAGCCTTGTTGGGCCGAGCGTCACTACCTGCAGAGAGGGCTCTGATCGAGAAATGCTGGCCGACCCAGTAAGGGCAACAGCCGGCAAGGGAGACAAGCATCACACCGGCAAGCGCACGAAGCATTCAAGGATGATGCCGCTACGGCAAGAGCACATGCCTGGAACCCGCATGCAAGTGCATCGTATATGAAGTCTGCCCGCACTTCGAACGCATCTTCTTCTTACTCCTTAGAGCGTTGAAGGGGCCACAGGTCTTTAAGTCTCGGAACAAATCTGTTGCGGGACAGCTGCCGATTGCTTTGCAGCGTCAGCTGTCGTCGCGGTGAACGTCTTGGGCACACAAAAAACTGCATGAGTTTCCGATCATCGGAGTGAAGACTGCCTCAGAGACAAACCTAAGATCCAAGAACCACATGCAACCCCAGATATAATCATAACTCCGTAACCCCAGTTGATGTTTCAAACAGAGACATAGTCTTCTTCTGGTGCAGGTGCCCGCTCTTCCTGACTCTCCGACTGCTGCTCATCAACCGCGGAACCGAGAGGATTCCGGGCAAAGAGCAAGCGAACCAGCATGCGGCCCAGCACCGATAGACGCGAGGTGCGTGCCGGCCCGGCAAAGGCCACGAGCATGATCAAAGGGCAGGCGATTCCATGCAAGATGGCATCGTACCATTTGCCACCGATGAGTCCAAGAAATCCTGAAATGAAAAGCAGCAGAAGCATTTGAGTTCTCTCTGCAAAAGGCCGCCGGTCTCGGGGCAGCAGTTGGAAGCCAAAAAAGACGATGAGAGCTTCAGCTGCAGCAACAGGCGGGATCCATTGAAAACCTCGCTCGGTCCTCCACAGAGCCGTGTTGAAGGCCTGCGCCACATAGAAGGTAAGACATGTAGCGAAGATGCTGCGGCTCCAGTTGGAGGCGTTTCCCAAAGCCCCGGCATGTGACGTGGCCTTTCGCAACTCTGGAGTCGACAGGTTCATGCGCAGAAGCACCCGCACGGCCTCGTCCACAGCCTTTTCGGAGCCGCTTTGCTCGATAAGGCTGCGTATCCGCAAACCATCGAGTGGGTTCCTTCACGGGCCAGGAGTAAAAAGCACAGGCTCAAGGAAACAAAGAGGCTCACATCAAATTTCCACGCTCTGTCGTCTACGTCTCCCTGCGTCTCTGTGCGTGTGCGTGCGTCTGCGCCTAACATTGACACCTCACCAGCAACAAGCATCAAGTAATGCCTAGGCTCGTTGTGGTGGCATCTCGAATCTTCCCAGTGAAGCCCTGTCTCAGCTGCCTGGCTTGTTTCGCAGCTTCGATGCCAAGCAGACGATCGCACTCCACGGCCCAGAAACAGAACGGAGCCATGAAGAAAGGCACGAAGTAAGATGGCCTCCGGAAAGACGTCTGGAAGATGTTCGTTGCCAGGTAGCCTGCAGCACACACACTGCAGGCATAGACTGCCACTGCGGTGACCTGCCAGTGATGTCTTCCCGTCGACATCAAGCAAGCAAAACACAGGGCACTCATCGCCGTGACCACTCCGAAAGCATAGGCGACAAAGGCGATCTGCTCCGGACTCCACAAGGCCCATTTTCTGTTTCCGTGCATCAACACACAGAAGAAAACGCCCAGCGTCACTAGGGACCAACTTGCAACCCGCAGGGAACGTGGCCAGAAGTTCGGTGGCGGGGACGTGGCAGTATAGATGGACTTACCCCAGGTGTACGCCAGATAGGCCTCGAAGGTACACCAAGCCCGAGTGTAGATGCTGTGCTTGTGGTTTGGGGACGCCAGCACCTGCGATGCCGACTGCAGTGCCTTGGCGAACGGCGACTCTTCTGGGCTTTGGATCATCTCGCCAATGTCGAGGTTCTGCGGGTTGGAAAGAAAGCAGACGTACGCGGCTCTTGCTCCGAAAGGCCAAGAGTTGATGATCTGGTCCACGAACTCAAAGACGCCCTCGGCCCAGCCATGCGTGATGAAGAGATCGCACTTTAAGCCTCCGGGATGGAGCATCAGCGCCCAGCTGGGATTGCCGGCTAAAGCGGTCACTGGCTTGATGTACTGCATGTTCACCGTGTACATGGAGGGACCGATGCGGTTGTCCGAGATGTCAAAGGGATCTTGGTCCGTAGGCTTGATCACCCCGTTCGCGACTGCGTGACGAATCAGGCGCCGGAACTGTCTGAGATCCTCAAGAGTCACACACCACAGGTGTTTCTCGACGGTTCGGTGAAGCCTCGCGCCGTCGCTTTCGAGCATCTTCCCCTCTGCAATGGACAGGTCTTCGCTCGTCAGGGGCTCGAGGCCCTTCGTGTAGCGGATGGTGAGCGTGGACGCACAGACGCCAACGAAGCCGAAGATCAGCAAAAAGACAGAGAGGATGCCCACGTAAAGGTCCTCGCCACAACTTGTGTAGCCGTTGTCAGCGTCGCCTAAACAACACGTGAACTCATATCCACGGCCAGTGCTGGGGGACCAGCCTTCCTTGCCGACAGGGTAGTAGCCATCCAAGCAACGGCAAGGGTCAGCAGGTCTTCCCGCCACACAGTTCCCCACCGCTGTACCGCTGTGACAGGCCCAAGGTGCTTCAGCGGACGTGCAAAGCCGCAGCCAGGAGCCGCTTCACAGGACCGCCGCTCATCGGAATCCAAGCACCCTCATGCGAAACGCAATGCTGAGAATTTCCTCTGCCTACGACATCATCCTCAGCCCCGAACTTCCGAGAACAAGCAAGGTTCAAAAGAAAGGCACGGTGACCAGCCAATCGTCTTTCACGCTGCTCACGACATTAGCATGCTCCCGTTCTGAAGAAATGCTATGCAAACCGTGCACAAGGGAGAAATGCTATGCAAACTGTGCACAAGGGAGCATCATTCAACTTGAATCCGGGGTTGCATGTGTAACATGGACTGGACCACTGTCGGCAGTCTTGTCCGACCAAGGCTTACATTCGTGAACTGAGCTTGCAGCAGGGCCTTCACTGGATGAGCATACAGTTCTCGGAAGCAATGGAACCTCGCCGAAGCACTGCAGTTTATGCATGCGCATGCACAAACACTTGCATCGTTACCAGCAGAAGTAGCAGAGTTAGAAGAAAGAGCTTGTGTTGTTGTTGTTGTTGCTGTTGTTGCTGCTGCTCCGGCTGCTGCTGCTCTGCTGGTGCTGGTGTTGCTCCCCTCCTGACCTCCTGATGCCGCTCGTCGTTGTGATCGTCGATCAGTGGTGCGGTTTCGCTGCTGTTGAAATTGCGATGTTTGCTTTCGTGTCAACTTCTCCCGCTCGGCTTACTTGTTATGTCCAAAAAAGTTCTCTCTCTACCTCTCTCTCTCTCTCTCTCTCCCTCCCTCTATCTCTCTCTCTCTCTCTCTCTCTCTCTCTATTTGTATTTCTTCGCTCCTGCGCTATGTCGTTCTTTCGTCCCTTCGCTCAATTAGTTTGTTTGCCTTGCTGCTTTGTCTCTTCATAGCTCTGGTCCTTTTCTGCCCTTCGTTAGCTTCTATGCTTGCGAGAAAACCCGGTCGCATTGCAATACACTCTCGGAAGTTTGAAGTGATATAACTGCTGCGCAAGAACGAGGCATCCCTGGCAGCACTCGTCCGAAATCTCCCACCCCCTCCGCCCCCCCGCCCCAAGTTTCTCTGGAATCAGGCCAGGCCCGACGGAGCCGCTCCTGTGAGTGGTTCACGGTTTGCTTCACCGCCCTTCCCCAAAGTAAGGATCTTGGATGCAGGAAGATTGGGTAGATTCCGTTGTGCAGGACCCGACGAGTACAGCTGATTTCAACCTCAGATCTGTTCATGCGAAGGGGTATTTTGGGTTCCGGAACCCACCTGAAAGCCTAAACCCTAAACAACCGTGCAACCTAAACCACGAGCATCGCATCATGGAGCTTGATGCAAAGCGGAGCCCGACGTCCATGGATGAAGGTGAGACCACGGCTTGACGGCAGCAGGCACCAGCAACTGGAGCCTGTTCAGATCTTCACCTGGCACCATTCGGGCCTAAACACTCCACTCTCAACTAAAGAAAGCAGGCTCGACACTCTGAAACTTTGTGCCTAATTGTTCAGCTTCTGTTGGCCAAGTCGTTAGAAGCGCTGGGTTGCTGTGTATAAAACGCACTTTGCTGCCTTCGACAAGTCTGAAAGCTGACAGCAACCTGCAAGTTACCACGTCCTCAAAACCACACATGTCCGCGGGCCATCCGGCATCTGCGACAATCACAAGCGATCCCCCACATTGGTTCTTTGCCGAGCATTTGTTCAATCCCTTCATGCCACTTTCGGTGCAATTAATCTGCGTGAACATAGGCATCGGGCAGCAGCTTGTACGGGCACCAACGGAGCTCCGACTCTTCATCTACGTTCATTGCCAACCTGTCAAGCAAAGATCCTGGCCCAGCTTAGTGCACAAGGCCTGTTGACACTGACAGCACACCAGGAACATCGCGGGACAACGCCATTCGTGCTCTTGGCCATGCTGTCAACTAAAAGTCGATGCTTCGCATGTTGTTTAGTCGCGAGCAACTCGAACAACAAGCAATATGGCAACACACCAAACTGTATGTTGATGAGGCTTCGGCGCGACCGAAGCATGGAAACGTACTACTTTGATGTATGCAAACACACCCACCCGCTTGCTGTCAAGATCGCTGAAAGTTAATACACTTTCGGAAGTCTTGTTGAATGAAAGCCGTGGTACTGGATTCAACTTGACTTTGCTTGGAGAGACCAAAATAATTAAAAAAAACTCCTACAAACAAACACGCTGTGTCCTTCCAATTGAAAATCCCAAAACAAGTCTTTGACCGACCATGCTGGCATGACGAAACACGACGAGTTTGCTTGCACAGTGACGAAACTTTTGGGCAACCGTCGCCATAGCTCAGAGGGCTTGCATGGAGCTCGCAACATCAATTCCTGCCATCTTGATTGCTCTTATTTGGTATGTTTTCGCATCACCGACATGCATGAGGCAACATGTTGACATGACAGTCACAGCATTGAGAGACGCACTCCTTTTTTTCTAGTGAAGAGCGAGGGGTGCGAACTGAATTCAAAAGATGTTACAAAGGAAGGGCTGAACAGCCGTATGCTGCAGCAGACTGTAGGCATCCACACGATCATCCTGCAAGCGACAGAGAGAGGCATAGGCAAAATGCCGATAAGCCCCTTCCACCAAGAGAAATCCTGCAAGCAATCCTGCACGACCTAAGAAGCACCTGATGACAGCAGATGCAACTTCCCCCCCTTACAAAAAGCAGGGCGGGTGGGTGGGACAAAAAATTTCTCTTGCCTTTGCCTGCAAGCAAAACTGCGATGAGACATTGTGTTCCCAAGAAGCTCCAGCAAGACATGCTCATGGAAAACACATGAGAGAAAATGTTAAAACGCAAGTCGGGCAAAAAAACTGATTCTCAATTTTTTCCTAACAGAAACATTCCAACAAGATAAAACATCCCCCTCCGGGAGAGATTGTTCTTATTTGGTATGTTCTCGCATCACCGACATGCATAGGCAACATGTTGACATGACAGTCACAGCATGAGAGACGTACTCCTTCTTTTTTCTACAACGGAAGTCTTTGGGCAGGTCCGAAGAGGTTTGCAGAGGATTCCACCCGCTCGAACCACACGCCAACATTGCGGTCGTCCTCGTATGTGCTAAGCTTGGCAAGCTGAGTGGACACCACAGGAGACTCTCAAGAACACTTGATTAACGCGGCAAGCGCTGCATTGTCACTCGATTTCCTTGCACATTGATGACCTCAAGCACCTCAGCGCTGGCGCACTCGGAAAACCATCTGAGAAGCAAGCCGCCATCACTGTAGAGGATACCCCCAGGCCAGCCGGCTGGTCCGGCTCATAAGACGCATCCATGAAGAGGCAGTAGGTCGGACGGTCACAAGCCCGGATGACGTGCGGAGGCCCATGCAAAAACAGGAAAGCAAAGCCTGGACCAGTTAGTCTCAGGATCACGAATCATCCTCTGCACAGCGCAGCTTCCCAAGCTCCTTGCGTCACTGAGGCAGCAACAAAGCGCCTTGGCCTTGACTTCCGAAACGAGCGAAAGCGAAGGTCGGCGGAAAGCTTTCTCAGAGCAACACCGTGCCAAAACATGCCAGAACATCCACAACATGCCGATGCCACAAAAATGCAGAAAAACCCAAGCGTTCAAAACTGCAGAGTGGTTTCACAGACTTTGCAGCGCTTCGCAAGCTTGACCAAGATTTCAGTGAGCAGCGGGCAAGACCAGGGCGATCACACAACACCGCCAAACAAAGAGCGCGTCGAGGAAGAAAATCTCCCAACCAGAACCGGTGTACTTGTAGCTGTGGCAGAGCTCACAACACCCTTCCCAGAAAGAGCCACGAGGTTGCATTAATTCTGGTGTGGTGCAACGTGCCTTCTAGACAAAAATCTGGATCTGAATCTTGTGAACCTGGTATTGATTTTTAGGATGTCAATTTTGCTTCATTTTGCTTCCCAACTGTTTTTGTTGTGTAGAAAGTTGAAAAGAGAACCGGATTCTTGAGGCATGCTCCATCATAGTTCGGCGAAGGGGGGCTTGAGAAGGGGGGGCTTCTCGAAGGGGGCTTGAGAACCCCCCCCCCCCGGGGGGGGGGGGG